AATAAAGACACAGTTCTGTTGGAAACATAGTTATTATTAAATAGTTTTCAGCACAAACAGCAAAACAATAATAGTGGTAAATATCTGAGACAAACATGAACGATATACGAGTGTATATATGTTAGATATAAGTTATATCTATGTTAGATATAAGTTATATGTTAGATATAAGTTAGATATATGTTATATAACTTATAAACTGTTCCTGTCTTTGTTTGAATCGTAGCTGCGTTTGTTGCTTTCCTCCTGCACTCGTAAATTGTTCATGTTTGTCTCAGATATTTACCACTATTATTGTTTTGCTGTTTGTGCTGAAAACTATTTAATAATAACTATGTTTCCAACAGAACTGTGTCTTTATTCACAGCATCACAGTTGAAATGACAACAATAAAATAATGAATCCATAAAACTATCACATAAACCTACAGTAGAAACACGTGTAATGAGCTCAAACAGCTTTGTTTGTTATTGTTGTTCTGAAGAGGACAAAGTAGCAGCGTAAATGGGACCGCTCCTGTGTGATCGCCCTCATGTGGTTTATTGTGGGATTACAACATTCTCCTCAAAACTCCGTAAGGGGAACGCGCCAGTATAACATCAATTGTGCTATTGTAGGTCCACCGCAACCGCTAATGTAAGCCACGCCGCGCAAGTATACACTAGGCTTAAGGGCCTTGCGGTGACCAACGCGTTGCACAAGTGACGTCACGTCACCTCCGTAAGCTCCGCGCGAGTATAAACTAGGCTTATGGGTCGCCGCAAGGAAGCTCCGCTGTGATTGGTCCGTGTGTGTGTGTATTGGAAGGAAGCACGGAGCGGCTGCAGCAGGAGCATGGACGAGGCACTATGGAGCAGAGAGCTTTGTGCTTCGAAGGAAAAGCAGTTTGGGCTCAGAGCCTGATATACAGGAGACTGTGGACTATCTAACATATATATAACTTATATCTAACATATATATAACTTATATCTAACATATAACTTATATCTAACATATAACTTATATCTAACATATATATAACTTATACCTAACATATATATAACTTATACCTAACATATATATAACTTATACCTAACATATATATAACTTATACCTAACATATATATAACTTATATCTAACATATATATAACTTATATCTAACATATATATAACTTATATCTAACATATATACACTCGTAAATCGTTCATGTTTGTCTCAGATATTTACCACTATTATTGTTTTGCTGTTTGTGCTGAAAACTATTTAATAATAACTATGTTTCCAACAAGAACTGTGTCTTTATTCACAGCATCACAGTTGAAATGACTTATAAAATAATGAATCCATAAAACTATCACATAAACCTACAGTAGAAACACTAGGCTTAAGGCCTGCACACTTAAACATTCCGTCTTCCTACTTTGTTTTTGGCAGCGGGAAAATGCTGTAGTATATGAACATCAGAAATGTCCGTGAGAAAACAGCTTTGGAGGACCCTACCGCGCTACTTGCTCAAAAAAATAGCTTAGCTACAGAAAAGTTACTTGGATTTGTAAATAGTGACGCTACCCTCAAGCTACTGAAAAACGTAGCGAGTTAAGCTAGTAGCGTCGCTACTGCCCATCACTGTAAACTACAGACTTAAAACATGGATTCAAAAGGCTCTGACTTGTACATTTGCATTTGTAACAACATAAATAACATTTAAAACCGAAATCATGCAGAGTGTAAAAACGTGACCCACCTCCTCAGACGCTAGGCAAAGACTGAGCGAGGCGCATGCGCAGACTGACGGAGGCTTCTGTTTTTTTAATGGCGGGCTAAGAATCAATATTGCCGTATACTGCCACCTACTGAATCGGAGTGTTATACTCCATGCCTTTGGACCAATGTTACAGTCTATTTATCATTTTTGTTGAAGTTAGAAAATAAAATAATGCCCTCTCTTGATTAAACCCCTCTCCCAAAATACCCTCCATGCTCCACTACTGAGGGAGGCTCTGGGGCGCAGCGAAGGAAACGCGAAGGGTCTGTCTGCGGCTTGCAGTACGGAGGCGTGTCGAGCATAGGCATATATAGAATAGACGCCGCATTGGTTGCTCGGGCACGAGAAATACGGCCGCCATCTTGGACCGGTCATCCTACAGCGCGATGCCTGAACACTGTGCGGCGTATGGCTGTCAAAATAGGCGGACTATTCAAAACAGGGCTCGTGGGATTACTTTTCACAAGTAAAATTTAACATTATTATTGGTTGTACTAGTTTGTTAATGGAATATTACTGAATTGTATTTATGTCACCAACGAAATCAGATACAGAACATCTATTGAATAGCAAACAAGCTAACTTACAGCAGCTTTGGTTCATTATCAAAATGCGAGTTTTGTTGAAGAGATGTTCTATATTTGAAGGAGGAAAATGGGAAGAAGTAATTAGGAATAATAGGAATTATGGTAATATATTTTTGTTTTTTTGTTGTTGTTTTATTCATGTATTTGCCTTTCGAAGGTAACTCAGAGAGTTCGGTAAAGTTAGCTTGATAAGTTAGCTTGATATTCACAGATTCGGACTTCCGCGGTGAATATCTTACGAAAGCTACGTTGTTAAACAAAAGTAATTGTGCCAAAATGATCACCTCTACATGGGCTAACTACTACAACATCGATTTTTCTAATCCAATGCGCTGTTTTAATGCAGAGAAATCCATTGAATCCAATCACTTAGGGAGGGTCAACAAATGCCAATACCAGCTGTGTAAACGAACAAAAGTTTTTATTTTAAGCCAAGTACACGCACTAAACTCTCAAATACTAGCAATAATGGCCATCTCTAACTACTACAACCATTGTTTTCAGCATTTATCTCTTTTTTATATCTTTTATGAATAAATAGGAGTAAATATGAGTATGAATTTTGAATAGCTTTTTTTCAAAAAGGGGCGTGGTCACCAAATTCTCAGGTATCATCAATAACTACCATATATAACTACTACAACCTTTGTTTTCAGCATTTGTTTCTTTTTTGTATTTTTTATGAATAAATAGGATTTAATATTAATATGAATTTTGAATAACTTTTTTTCAAAAAGGGGCGTGGTCACTAAATTCTCAGGTATGTTCAATAACTACCATATATAACTACTACAACCTTTGTTTTCAGCAGAAATATCTTTTTTATATTTTTTATGATTAAATATGAATATGAATTTCGAATAACTTATTTTCAAAAAGGGGCGTGGTCACCAAATTCACAGGTATCATCAATAACTACCATATATAACTACTATAGATATACAGTGGGAGGAAAGAGCATGTGAACCCTTAGCAATTTCTAGTATTTCTGCATAATTTGGTTATGAAGTGTGGTCTGATCTTCATAAAAATCACAATGGTCAAATAAATTTTGTTGTATTCAGCATGAATATTATAGTTTTTCATAAAACAACAAAAAATAGCATTTAAATATTCCCAGAGCAGGGATGATTATATATAATTTTTTTTAAGGTTTGTTTTGAAGATTATGATGGAGTCATCGGATTTGTGAACACAGGGTGTCACTGGAAGTGTGTGGTAAGTAAAAGAGTAATGTGAAAAAGTTAAACTTTATCATAAACAACTACTTTTTTCCTCGCCAGTATCTGAATGCTATCACACAACAGATATTTATGCTGGACCCATTAAAAACACTAAAAGAAGCAGAGGACACACAAATGGCTGCTCTAAGATTTGGGTGAATTTATGAATGAAAAATACATATAATCATAAAAGGGCACTTAATGTTAGGTCTATCTATTATGTATTTCACAGACAATACTTTAAAATGAGAAGGAATCGCTTGGGGAAGGAGGACTGGATCCATATTACATGGAAACCAGGGAACATTCCACACACACACCAGCAAGATCCTGTCAGCTGTGGAGTTTTTGTCATGCAGGTATCTAAAGAACAAGCTATAGTAGTAAATGACTGACATATCATGATCACTTAATATCCATTTTTATTAACGTCTTTGTAGATGGTTAAAGTTTTGTCAATGTCGTTCCCTCATATCACCAAGGGCATTCAAGTGGAGACTACCAAAAAAGCCATGGGAAATCTGAGAAAGGAGATGGCTGAGGAGATTCTCAGAATGAGTGGTGACAGCATTATAATTTTGAAACAATTATTGTATTTGTACTATTATTGCAATTAACTTTTTATTGTATTTGCTATGAACAGTGTCAGACTTCTGTTAGCTGTGTGGGCTCCAAAACTCAGCAACTGGAGTTACTTGGGTAAGAGCAGTATTTTCTTTTTAAAAATTTTTTAAGAGGAGTGTTAAATGACCAACATTAATATTCATGCAGATTCAGTGTGACAATTGCCAGGGATGGTTCCACATTGAGTGCGTAGCAATGGCCCAAGAGGACATCCCGGACCAAAAAATGGAATGGAAGTGTCAGTGGTGTTGAAGCTGATTCCACAAAGCTGGATGTGGTCCAGTTCCACTGCTACAGACTTAAAACAATTTTCTACTGTAACAGGCATTACATTTCATTATTTTATGAGTAATATAATTACACATAGTATATACAATTATCAAATATCACATACCATTGTGCAATTCACACATCGCTGCTCTCTTATCACATTCTGGAGAACTTGGTGAGCACGCCCCCCTTTTTGAACAAAAGCTATTGAAGATTGATATTTAATCATAAAAAATATAACAAAGAGATAATTGCTGAAAACAGAGGTTGTAGTTAGATAAGTTATGTCAGGATGGCACTTATGAAGATGTTGGAGGAACAAAGTTGAACAAAGGCAGCTTCCAGTGAGGACCCAGGTGCAGGTTTATTTACATTGGACAGCATGTCATGCAACACTCTTTCTGTTTAGAGGGGGGGCTGCAGCCTGACAGCGATAATTAAAGCAGGGATTTTACACTCTTTTTATGATTATTATTTGATTATTACACACCCCCACATAACAAAAATATATATTTATATTACATTTACAAATGATTTATTTCTTCTAAAACTATACTAAATTGGAAAGATAAAATCCAGGAAACTCCTCCCCTCTCAGCAGAGTGGAGGCACCCGGAATCCTCTTTAGGTCCTCCGGCTCCCCGGGGACTTGCTTGGCCGGAACACCTAAATAGGGCAGACAAGAGAGAAAAAGATAAGTATATTTAAATGTTGTACATTTATTGAATTACCTTCACTTACACTCTTTTCCTTTACAGATCTGCACCTTCACATACAAATCATTCTTTAATAAATATTTTAAAACATTGCAGTCTGTCTAATTTACACTCCTGGTAAAGGTCTCTTCTCCATTTATAAAAAAGCTATTGAAGATTCAATCATAAAAAATATAAAAAAGATATTTCTGCTGAAAACAAAGGTTGTAGTAGTTATATATGGTAGTTATTGATGATACCTGAGAATTATGTGACCACGCCCCTTTTTGAAAAAAAGTTATTCGAAATTCATATTAATATTAAATCCTATTTATTCATAAAAAATACAAAAAAGAAACAAATGCTGAAAACAAAGGTTGTAGTAGTTAGATATGTCAGTTATTGATTATACCTGAATATTTGGTGACCACGCCCCTTTTAGAAAAAAAGTTATTCGAAATTCATATTCATATTTAATCATAAAAAAATACAAAAAAGATATTTCTGCTGAAAACAAAGGTTGTAGTAGTTAGACATGTTAGTTATTGATGATACCTGCGAATTTGGTGACCACGCCCCTTTTGGAAAAAAAGTTATTCAAAATTCATATTCATATTTAATCATAAAAAATATATTTCTGCTGAAAACAAAGGTTGTAGTAGTTAGACATGTTAGTTATTGAACATACCTGCGAATTTGGTGACCACGCCCCTTTTTGAAAAAAAGTTATTCGAAATTCATATTCATATTTAATCATAAAAAATACAAAAAAGATATTTCTGCTGAAAACAAAGGTTGTAGTAGTTATATATGGTAGTTATTGATGATACCTGAGAATTGTGTGACCACGCCCCTTTTTGAAAAAGAGTTATTCGAAATTCATATTAATATTAAATCCTATTTATTCATAAAAAATACAAAAAAGAAACAAATGCTGAAAACAAAGGTTGTAGTAGTTAGATATGTCAGTTATTGATTATACCTGAGAATTTGGTGGCCACGCCCCTTTTTGAAAAAAAGCTATTCAAAATTCATACTCATATTTACTCCTATTTATTCATAAAAGATATAAAAAAGAGATAAATGCTGAAAACAATGGTTGTAGTAGTTAGAGATGGCCATTATTGCTAGTATTTGAGAGTTTAGTGCGTGTACTTGGCTTAAAATAAAAACTATTGTTCGTTTACACAGCTGGTATTGGCATTTGTTGACGCTCCCTAAGTGCTTTTCTCGGCACTTGTGGCGCATTGGATTCAATGGATTTTTTTGCATTAAAACAGCGCATTGGATTAGAAAAATCGATGTTGTAGTAGTTAGCCCATGTAGAGGTGATCATTTTGGCACAATTACTTTCGTTTAACAACGTAGCTTTCGTAAGATATTCACCGCGGAAGTCCGAATCTGTGAATATCAAGCTAACTTTACCGAACTGCCTCTCCCTGGCTCTCGCTCTCGCCTCTCCCCGCCTCGCTCTCGCCTCTCCCCGCCTCTCCCTGCCTCTCCCTGGCTCTCCCTGCCTCTCCCCGCCTCGCTCTCGCCTCTCCCCGGCTCTCTCTCGCCTCTCCCCGCCTCTCCCTGCCTCTCCCTGGCTCTCCCTGCCTCTCCCCGCCTCGCTCTCGCCTCTCCCCGGCTCTCTCTCGCCTCTCCCCGCCTCGCTCTCGCCTCTCCCCGCCTCGCTCTCGCCTCTCCCTGGCTCTCCCTGCCTCTCCCCGCCTCGCTCTCGCCTCTCCCCGGCTCTCGCCCGCCCGGAGCTGCCTTGCTCTGAGCCAGACTCATCGTCAGCCTGTTCTTATTTTAAATAAACTACGTTTACTACACAGCATGTGTACAATGGTTTTAGTTACTCAGAACGTTACTACTCATACAAATAATATTACTAATAACAATAATGACAATAAAACAGCAGCAGCATGACTTCTCTTCATGACAGAGACAGACCCTCTGCTGCTGCTGCTCCTCGTCTCCTGATTGGTTGAAGCCCGCGTCAAAGCTTCAAAAGCTCAGCTTTGCTCAGCTTCGGCGTCAAAGGGATTGTTTTGATACGCGAGCGTTACGAGCGTCAAAAGCTTCAAGTGAGCGCGTATTACGCGCGTCCTTTGAAGCTTTTGACGCGCGCCAAGTGACGCCGGGCCCCTCGGCTTCACCGGACGCGCTTCACCATTCACTTTCAATGCAAACCTGATGCTTTTGACGCCGAAGTTAAGTCCGGTGTGAACGCCCCTTTACAGTGAAGGTAATGTGGACTGCAGGAGCTTGAGTGGAAAGTAAGGGAAAAGAGACTTATTGCAGAAGTCGTGTGTATTTTTATTTGTAAATATCCTTTTCGCCTGAAGACTTTTCACTGTGTTCTGTAAAAACGTTTATTTTAATTTCCCACTGTTTTTTGTACTGAGAGTTTTTTATTAAAAACTTCTGAAAACGCCCTTTCCGACCCAGCCATGTGTTCTGTAAAAAAAACCTCACACCTGAGCAGAGTCTGATCAATGTTCGGTCATCACTGTGTGTGACAGATAAGTTTCCACAGAACAAAGTTAGAATATGGTTGAAAAGCTTCTTGTTTAAAAGGTGAATAAGCTCAGAGTTCTTTAGGGCTGTATTTATGGATGTTTTCTAACCGGCAAACAGGTCGCCCTCGTCGTCAGAGTGAACCCCGTTAGTGTTGGACTGGGCCGAGGGGTCTGCTTCACTGAACAGGTCCAGAGGCTCAGACAGAGGCTGGGACTGGGTCTGAGGCTCAGAGGATCCAGCGCTGACTCCAACAGACCCGCTCTGAAAGAAAACAGCACGTCTCAGATCTCATGTCACACTGAGCAAAAGCACGAGACTCTTATTAGTATTAGATAGCAATATGGCCTACGTGCAGGACTGTACAAGGACTCTACAAGGACTCCATGTTATGACTATGATGTGACTGTCTCTTTGTGACACGTATGTCTTTCGATGTGTGACGTGACAATGACTATATAAACTGTGTACTGCCTTTATTCTGTCTGAGAGAAAGAAACAGAGTAAACCAGTGGAACTTGAGAGAAACTTAAATAAACTTCCAGAGTTTGGCACACCACGATCCGTCTCTGTCTGCTGAATCCCTGACAGATTTGGTGGAGAATGCGCGGCTTGGTTTGTGCCATTCTCTGGATTGTTTTGAGGGAATTTCCTCTGTTTCTTTTCTTTCGGCGTGTGGGAGCAACAGCACGTTATCTGGAAGGGGAGAAATCCCAGCGGACGCTGAAAGGGCTCGCTTTTGGATGGGCTTGCTCTTGCTCCCTCACTTTCTCTGTTTTGTGTTTAAATTGAATTTTTTGACGCGGAAAAGATGTTGGTCGACCTCTCGAACAGTCCGGACAAAGAAAATAAGGTAAGCAGACACCTTTTTTAATATGTAAAGTCTGCATAATTGGATACTAGCTAAATTTTGAGCTGTCCCGGAGGTCTGTCCAAATCTCTCTAAATCAAATTTTCTTTGTTTTGTCTTTGTCACGTCTTTGTCATGTCTTATGTTGTAGAAAACAGGTTAGCTGTGTGGGTAACCAGTCCCTATAGGAAAAAGGAACCCCTGACGTATCGGGGTCCCTGTCCTTTGAAGTAGTCAGGGCAGAGAAAGAGTAATTACAGGGTAGAGGCCCTTTTTAGAGTAATTACCGGGGTAGAGGCCCCTTGAGAAAAAGAGTAATTACAGGGTAGAGGCCCTTTTTTGAGTAATTACCGGGGTAGAGGCCCCTTGCTAGCCAGAGAAAAGTGTTGGATCCAAAAGTGTAAAATTAAAAGTAATTATAAAAAGGGAAACGTGTTAAGGAGGCCTTTGTTACAAAAGCTTTGAAATTGACGAATTTCAGGCTGATAAATGACAAAAGTATAAACTACAAGTTATATTCGCTTTAAAAACTAATCTTGAAAGTTCTTCTTCTGTGTCTTTCTGCCTGTGTGTGTGCGCGTCTGTGTGAAAGGAACCCCCCCGCCCTGCTGCTGCTGAGCTGCTGCTCTGATTTAAAGGGGAGCTACTGCTTTTGGGAATTTGGCTTTTCATTGTAGTTATTCCGTTAAATTTGCAAAATTTGCCATTTGAACATTGTGTTAAGACACAGTTAAACGTTTTTAAACACCATTAGTGAATAAGTTTTGAATATTATATGTTTTTTGAAACCCAAAGATTAGTACAAAAAGCTTTGCTTTTCTTTTTAAATCTGCTGCTTATTTTTTGAGTCCATTATTGTATCTGATATATTTCATAGCTGTTTGTGAGAATTTTTTTATGTTTTTATTTTAGTTACAAAAGCCGTTTTTCAAACATTTAAATTAGAATCTGTTAAAAGTGATTATTGATTATAGACTTCGTCTAAAAAAGAAAGAGGGAATTAGGCTGTAAAAGTATTATTAAGTTAAACTACCCAATTCACATTCAAGTGGTGACTTTTGTTTTTGTTTTGACTACACGCGTGACCTTGCTGCTGCTCAGAGACATGAGGAGGCAGCTCCGACGCACAATTGAGTTTTATTGAACCAAATCCAGTTTAGCTGGAGCTAAATCTTTTGTTTGATTTCAAGTTTTGTTTTAAATGTTTTTATAAATTAATATATAATATGTAGTGTATATATTATATATATATGCTGTATTATGTTATATATTATGTTATATATTATTCAATAATGTATTGTGTTATGTTGTATATTATGTTATATATTATGCTGAATGTTATTCTTTATTCAAGGCTAGGTTTAAAACAGTCCTCTTTAGTTTAGCATATGGCTAGGAAGGTCAGACTCTGAGAAGGTTAAACTCCTCAGAGTGTCAGTCAAGCTGCATAGGGAGTCAGTTTGCTGGGAGAAGTATGGTAACTTGAGCACTATCCTCTCCTCCTTCCTACTTTATCTGTTTAGCATTTTTAGGATTCTGACTGTAGTTTGTTCATTGCCATTCACCCGTTGTCCCATTGTCTGTTTCATGGTACGATGACGGGATCTCTGAGCCTGGCCTCTTCCATCTACACCTGCGGACTGCCCCGCCCGACCCGCCTGGGAGTGCTTCGGTCCTGCACCGGACCTGTCCACGTTCAGCGGCCACTGGTCCACGTTCTGTAGCTAGCTTAGGTCCTAGATCATTAGCCTGTCCGTCCGGAGGAGCGGATCCCTTTCTCATATGGGTCTCCCTCCCTGTGGGTTTCCCTAGTGCTCCCCAAGGTTTCTCACTTTTTCCCACTGGGTTTTTTTAAGAGTTTTTCCTTGTCGATGCAGGAGGGTCTTGTTGGACAGTTAGTGTCCAACAGAAAGGATTGGTGATGATCAGGACACTTTAGCATTCTACAACATGTATGGACATTTTCTTCTGTGTGTGCTTTATATTCTTCATGTGTTTTAACTGTTGATTCTCTGACCTGTGTTGGTGATTTCAATGGTTTTGTTAAGTCCTCTGAGATGACTTCTGTTGTGACCTAGGGCTATACAAGAATAAATTGTATTGTATTGTATTGTGTATAAATTAATGTTCATTTTTATAGAGATTTTTCATAATTTCATTTCATGGCGTCTTTCAAGAAACCCAAGGACGCATAGATAATTAATCACACAGTACAAAAGTATATAATACATAGTTTAAAGTTTAAAAAGGTTTTTTTAGATTTGAGTCTTGTTTTTTATATTGAGAGTTTCTGGTCTTAAAATGTCATCATTAGTAAGATAATAAGTAATCTTTTATTTACATAGCGCTTGGGAAAACCCAGAGCGCTCCAAAATTGTTTTGACTTCAGAGAGAAAAACAATCTCATTCGCATACTGATACTGTATCTGTTGTTTTTAAATTGGCCGTCTCAAGGATTGTTTTTCAGACTCTGCCTCACTGTACGAGAGGTCACTGCTGGACACTGGACAGCGCAACGCCCACCCAGCCACAGGTCACAGATCAAAGAGCAAAGGGAAATGCCACCTCCTTGCCCCTCCCCCCACTACAGAAGTAAGTGGGAGTGAGACCGGGGCCATGAAAGAGAGGTATCTGGAGACGTGATGGTGGAGCGTCAGGGAGAGACCTGAATGAGAGTTGAAAGTGTGTCCAGTTGGTTTACATCACCACAGTGTGACCTTTGACACCTACAGGTGCAGTGTTTCCCACACATAGACTAATCTGTGGCGCACCGCCACAGATTAGAGACCGCCCGCCACAAATTGCGTTTCGTATTATTATATATATATATTTTTTGTTACGCTATTTAAAACATGCATCGTCTAGTGCCGCCGCAGCAGTCAATTTGACAGCGGGGAGGGGGGTTTAAAATGTGGCGGCCCTTCGTAACTCTCACTCAAGCTACGCGTCTCTCCCACATACAGAGACCTACACACACACAGCCCCTCCCCTTCGTGCACACCGCGTGTCTCCGTCTCCATCAGCGATCATCGCTGTAAGCAGCTGTGTCTATTAATTTACCGCGGTAAAGTGGCCCGCATCTTTCAGCTCTATGAACATGCGGCCAGCATCGGGGAAAAGACGGTGCGCGTTTTGTTGAGAACTTACGGTAACAGCGGAACGTCCTTTCGGAGTCACCCATTTTTATCGAACAGAAAGCGCGCTGGGGGGGGGAGACACGTTTTTGTGATTAAAACCTTATAGAGATGCCACCCGGCACACATAGCACCAGCCCCCTACGATTCCTCCGGCAGATTGTGAGTCCTCAGGAGGATAGCCACTCTATTGTTTACATGTATAAAGTACACAATTTGGTCCGCTAGTGCAATTTTCAAGTATTGTAACTATTTACTGGAATAAGGTGTGCGACTAATTTCACTTGACTCATGACCTTATTATTGCCCTCTGCCACTGTACCAAAGACCAGAAACTTTTACTGTAGAAATATTGAGAAATATTGAGGTAAAGTAGCCATTTTGGTCCAAAATACCTCCAAAATAGTCAAAACATGTCACTTTTGATCTACTGTAACTTTTTACTGTAAAAAGGTGTGCGACTAATTTCACTGGATTCATGACCTCAAGATTGTCCTCTACCACTGTACCACTGTACCCCCCCCCCCCCCCCCCCGCCGACGACCACCACACATTGCCTTCAAACCTGTGGGAAACACTGAGGTGGTTCGAGGAGTCTGGAGAAACAACCCCAAAATTTACACCCTACACACACACACACACACACACACACACACACACACACACACACACACATACACTCACACATTCACATTTACATATAGATACATGAAAAAGCAGAACATGAGAAAAAGCATTTTAAAAGTTTACTCCAATGTAAACAAATATTTTTAATTGTCTATCACTTGAATCTTTAGTTGAATCAGTATTTTTTGAGACCAGAAATGTTCATTTGAATTCTATATTGTCATGGACTTAATTGACCTCTGTCCTGACACTTTTGATTTGTTGATTTTGTACTGTGTGAAGTAATTACATTGATGAGGATTAGATCTGATAAAAACACAAATTAGAGAAGTAAACTGAATCATTGCGCTTGCCTTTTGTCTGAGGGACATTAGCAACAGCATGAATAGAAATTGTGTTACATTAGAATCAAAGTGATTTAACCATAGAGAGTAACTATTTCATAACAAGCTGTGTACAGGAACTGAGACACTGCACCATTGACCAGAAGTGCATCGCAAATGACCTGATGTGCTTCAAGTGAAAAGACTGTATCTGGAGATCCTGATGTGCATCTGGAGAGACCAAAACCATGGCTTGGACCCTACTGATGTCCAAGATGACATCTCTCTATGACCTGACCTGATGACGACTGAGACTGACCCTCAGGGGAC